GCGCAGATTGCTTACTGGATATATATATATATATATATATATATATATATGCATATAAAATTGCATGTAATAATATATAATACACACATAAAAAAACAATTATTATAATAATAAAATTCTTAGAAGCTATGGATCAACTTTTTGCTGTGATTGTACAGCAGCTATCTCTCTCGGCTACGCGGCAGTGCTGCTGGCGCCCATTCCAGTTGTATTATAGTTCAATGTTCATACCTTGGTACCTTGGGTGAAAAGACAATAAGGAAAAGTTTTGGGCCTTCCGCTTTTCTGCTTTTTCAACGTACGGGAAGAAATGAATCAATTCGCGGAACGCGGAAATCTAGTAAGATTTTGTCTTCCACGTTTTCGCGTTCCGTGCTTCATGTAATGGCACCCTGAGTAGCAAGCCGTAAGAATTAACCAATCATAGACGATTATTTTTATAATAATCGACTACGATTGGCCAATTCTTACGGCTTACTTCTTACTCCAAGCTTAGGGCCATTGCACATAGAAAAACTTAAGCAGTAAAGCCCATTCTACAATTGTGTCAACGTGGTTGTAAGTGATTACGACAACCAATCAGAATAAAGCAATCAGTGAATAAAACATTCAAATTGGTTGACTCTTACGTTCACGACTACGCTTACCCAATTGTAGAATGGGCTTAAGACGTAAGCAGTAAGCAAATTGACCAATCACAGTCGTTGATTCTTGAACTGTAAAGCGTCTTCTACAATGGCAGTAGGAGTAGTAGTAAGAAATAAGCAGTAAGTAAATAGACCAATCACAATCGATTATTTTTGAAGCGTGAGAATGGAATTGGTCAATTTGCTTACTGCTTATTTCTTACTACTACTCCTACTGCCATTGTAGAAGACGCTTAAAGCTGGCCGCACACACTTTTCGTAACAGTAACCGTAAGACGTAACGTAAGAATTGACCAATTATGATCGAATATTCATGAACATGGCGACCTTACGTTTCGACAATTCTCGACATGATTGGTCAATTCTTACGTTACGTCTTACGGTTACTGTTACGAAAAGTGTGTGTGGCCAGCTTTAAGCGTCTTCTACAATGGCAGTAGGAGTAGTAGTAAGAAATAAGCAGTAAGCAAAT